GCTGCAGGACTCGGCTGTGCACTTGCACAGTGAAATGAATGAGCGTAGTGGTGTTGTGGCAGGTTAAGCTAATATTTTACTCTGCATCCACAGCGGGCAGGGAGGCTGCAGGCAGCCAGGTGCTGCGGCTCCCGGCGTGGGGCAACGCGGCTGCACGCCACCAGGATTTGAGCTCTTACTGCAACAGGGAGCGCTGGCAGCAGGGCTGCAGACAGCTCCGGGAGCTGGGATCTCACCCTCGCTCCCACCTGGGAGCCCGCGGAGGATTCCCACCCACGGCAGCAAAGTCAGGGCTTTACCATCACCAGGGCAGGCTCATCCCGCCTCGTGTTCGGCTGCAACGTGGGTGGCAACCGCGTCTGTCCACGTCTGTCAGCGCGTTACGCACCGCATGGCTCCTGTCATCGGCAGCGAACCGAGCCCAAGGAATTCGGTGGAAGCAGCAGAGGCGAAGGAGCTGGGAAGCCAGGATTTCACTTGGGTTGGCAGCACAGCCTCAGCCCCAGTGTCCCCGATGGGTTTCACTGGAGCAGGCTCAGACAGGCAGCGTGCGTCAGAGCATGGGTGAGAGCCCCGCTCGCCCAAACCCCAGGCTCCTGCTGTATCCCAAACCATCCTCCCTCCCCGCGGCACGCTGGCCTCCTCCAGCCCATCAGCCCCTTGCCGAAACCTGCTCACCAGAGCCCTGAGCCTCCCTGCGAGGGGCCATCCCACACCCTGAGCAAGTCCCCCTCGACCCAGGAGCCTGCACAAAGGCAGAGCTCGAATCCTCAGGGCATCAGAAAAAGCTGGACCCAAGCCACAGCGTTGAGATCAGGGACTAAGTTACCTCCGGATCTGGGGGGACTGGGAGGAAAGGCTCCCTCCAGCCCTGAAACCAGCAGCTGAGACAAGCTGGGAGCTGCAGTTTGACCAAAGGAATTCCTCCCACCAGCAGCTGCCGAGCCCTGTTCAAAGCCCTGAAGCCGAAGGCTTGGCCGAGAGCCTGGCGGACGAGCTCGCCTCTCGCTGGGTATGAATTTGTTTTCAGCTGGACTTACACGAGGAGATCAAAGCAGCTGCACAGGGCTGGGACAGGACTTACCCTGGGGCATTTCCCTGCACAGTTTTACCCCATCTCCATTTCGCCCAGGGGTTCCTGTGCTGTTTGAGGAGGAGCTGGGCTGATTTGCTGTAGCCCACTGCAACTTGTGTGCACCCAGGGCTTGGTGTCCTTCACCTGCTGGCACTAAATTTGCCTCCAGCCAGCAGCCTCTGGCAGAACGCACCAAAACGAGTTCCCAGAGCTGTCTGGAGTGCTCTCAGAGAGGTATTTTTGGCTAGCTACATGCCGACTGCCCCTTTGGCCATCCACATCTCTGCACAGGGGAAGAACAGACTGAAACCAGCACCAGCTGCAAACACACCCTGTGGGATGCAGTCAGGACACTTGTATGCAGACACTCCAGTACTCATTCCAGGAGGGAGAAGTCACCAGGTTCGCTTTTACAGGAGCAAGGCGAGGATGTAGGTGCACCTTTGGACCATCACACCCTTGTGATGCTGCAGCAAATGGCCACCTTGGAGCCTTTTCCCAAGCCTGATATCACACATGGCCACCCACAACCCAGCACAATAAAATCACCGTGTTCCTATACTGCATTACGGTGTGCAGGGCACTTGAACACACTGCTGGGCCAGCCTGAAGGGCTGACCTCACTGTTATTCAGTGAATAACACCAGGGCGATGTTACAGGGGAGCACAGAGGCTCCAAAACTGGTCCCTACACAGCAGCAGCTCTCGAAGCCACGATCCATCCCGCAGTGCTTGGTGCTGGCACACGCAGTGGGTGAAGCCTCCTGCAACGGCTGCAGTTACGCCGGGTCCAAGGGAGCAACCTCCCCGGCACCAAAATTATTAGGGCTGAAATTTGGGGGAGGCGTTTTTAAGAACAGATGGTCGTGCTTTAGTATCGCAACACACTGCCAGTTAATTAATGCTAGCTGTAATTAAACTTTACACAAATTAGCTGTCAGCTATGCTAAAGGGAATCATTTCTCTCAAATGCCACCTTGAATCGCTGAGTTGTGAGACTTTTCTACAACGTAATTAAAAGCAGGAGGCTGGCATGGAAGGGGGCGGGCGGCAGGGGAGGGAATAGCCAGGAGATGAAAGCTGCAGGCTGGGAGGCAGCTGGAGATCCCCTCCCTGCATGAGCAGCTCTGCTCCTTCGCTTTGGGGGACCCTGGGGGCTCTGCTTGGCTTTGATCCCCTCCAGCGTGCAAGGGAGGTTCCTTGCAGCGAGTCCAAGTTGTAGTTTGAAGCTGAGTTTTTGGATCACTGGAAGGAGAAAGGTTTGAGCACGAGGCCCAAGCAGATGCGGTAAGACCTTGGCAGGATGGGGAGAAAGTTGGGTGAGGAGCTGTTGCGACGAAGCGCTTCTTCCACTTGGAAAAGTGGAAAACAAGATGTGTTTGCGAGGAGACGGCTGGTTTTGACAAGTCTTCTGCTTAGAAGAAAAGAAGTCTGTCAAAACAGCCATGTTGACATTTTCCAACCAGTTGCATTTTATTCAGGGTGATGATTTGGAAATTTTAGCTCATTTCTTTTTTTGCATGTTTGCCAGTGCTCGCTGAGCAGCGAGCTCTGCTGTGACTAACCCCAGAGCACCACGAGCAAGCAGGCAAGCGCTCCCTGGGGCTGGGGGATGGAGCTTTAAGGCTAACTCAGCACAAGTTTTGGCTAGGAATCAAACTGGGGAAACAGGCAGCAAATGTTTTAACGCCAGATAATATTGATAGTAAGCAGTGGAGGTTTTCAAACACGGCCCTGTTTGCACACAAACATACAGGACACGGCGTTGGGTACCTGAGCAAGGTGATGATGTCTCTAGAAGAAGCTCCAGGGTCTGGACAGGCTGGAGACAGAGGATCCAGGAAGGAGGCAAGGCTAAAGAGGAGCACAGCCTCCTCCTGGGCTTTAAATAGCAGTTCTGGATGTGCACATGAGGCTGATCAGGGCAATTAAAGCCAATTAGTGCAGTCAGGACCCACGAAGTCAAACCAGTCTGAAAGAAGAGCTCAGTAATCCCGGTTAATTTAACAGCTCCAGGCCTTAGGATTCTTTCCCTGCTTTCTGGCTCTGTGAGCCACCTGCATCCCTCTCCGTGTACCATGGCTCGTGCATCACCACCCCAGCCCCACGTTGGACCGGGTGGTGACCCCAAAATCAGCCCGGGGCTGTGCATCTTCCCCCAGGAGCTGTCTCAGGCAGCCCGAGGCGTTACTGATGCTCGCGGCTCGTGCAGTCGTGGGTAATTGATATGCCCAGATGTTTTCCACTCCGCGATACAGAGGAAAGCAAAAATCTCCGTGGTTCCTGCCAGGCTGACGTGTGGAAAATTCCTGCCTGATCCCAGCTCTGCTAATCAGATCAGGCGCTTGAGGGAGCCTTGGCGGGCGAGCAGGTCTCAGGACGGGGTCCCTGCACCCCATTCCCGTGCTTGCTGCCCGCCCAGCATCCCGCCTCCCACCCTGCCACCGTTCGGGAGCACAGCTGGCCAGATGTGCACCCAGGAAACCATTTCTCCTTGACTCCTGCAGGCTGGATGAGGCTGGGGATGAGTTACAGTTGCAGCCTTGCTGCAGAGCTCCAAGTGTTACGAACATCTCGAGGGCAGAGCAGGACGGCCTTCTCCCCGAGGGCAAGAACGGGGGGGATTTATGAATTAAGGTCAGCAAGGGCCACCGTGTCTCTCTCCCCTGCTCCTCCCAAACGCACACACTGCAGCTATTTTTCTCCTCCAGCAGCTGAATTAAAGCCCTTGGTTTGTAGCAATAGCAAATCTCATTTTGGAGGCTCTGAGCAACAGTAAATCCCTGGTCCCTTGCTCTCCGGCAGCCCTCGCTGCCCTGCAGCCTGTCCTCCTCCAAGGTTGCCTTCAGCTTCCAGCAATTAGGGCTTCTCCGGCATTTTGCCTGACGGGTTGGAGGCTCCGTTTCCAGCCTGGTACACACAGAGGAGTCAAATTCCTCCTCCGCAGCCCGAACCTCCCACCCCACTGCTCACCTCCCACCCCGTCAGAGCATCCTTTGCCCCTCCGGTGTGGGAGCAGCGCTGGCCCCACAGCCGGGCAGATTACTGTGACCGTGTTCCCCCGCACTCTGAGCAGGCTTGAGAGCACTTCTCAGCTTTTCTTTCCTTTTTTTTTTTTTTTTTTTTTTTTTCTGAGCTCAATCAAGGATCACATCAACTTCTCTTTTCCCCGCTGCTCTGCGCTGGGAGCTCATGATGAGGGAGTTATACACCCGTGACCCCTAAATCCTTTTCTGAGTCACTGCTGCTGCAAGCTCTGCTCTCCCATCCTGGAGGCAAACAACCCAGCTCCTTTGTTCCCACCTAAGCTACAGCGGTCTTGTACAAAGCACCAAAGCCAGCACTGCTATTTTACACTTCAGGAGTGCATTTTTTTTATTTTTTTTTCCAAAGCAGCACAAAACATCCATAGTTCAGCAGTACCTGGAGTCCCCAGTGCACACCAAAAGGGATTGAGCTGTCTTTTACTACGGTAGGGATGAAGACAAGTGTTGATGGGAACCAAAATGTTTGTCCTTTCTCGATTTCTGAGCTTGCCCAGCCTGGCATGGGGAGAGATCCCAGCCCAAACGGCAAACACCCCCCAAGTCTTTTATCTGCCAAACACAATCCACAGCTTTTAATGGGGACTTTGCCCTCTCATCCTCACTCCAGGGTGCATGGGAGACCAGTGTGCATGTGATGTGGGGCTCTGATTTTGCTATCCTTTCCCCTGCCAAAGGATGTTTGCCTGAAAGTCAACCCGAAACATCTCCCAAACACCTGCATGAGCAGCGAGAGGCAGGGATCAGTCCCAGCCTTACTGCACCGAGAGCTGCAGGCACCATCAGCTGCCTTCCCCCACCTCCTCCCATTCAATTAAGAAACAACATCTCTTCCTCCCTGCCACCTTCTTTTATCTCTGACAAGAGAAGGATAAGGATAGGATAAATAAGGATAGGATAGGATAGATAAGGATAGGATAGGATAAGGAAGATGCAGCGATAAATGGCATCCCCACCTCCATGGCAGCACTGGTACTGGGGAGTCACTTTGCTGGCCACCTCTGCTGGCATGCTTTAAGGTAAAAAAAGTGGTTTTGGTAGCAGGGACAGTATGAACGTTTTGTCCAGCAGGCACCCTGCTTGCAGGATGCTCCTCTGCATCTTCTGCTCTACGCTCTAATGCAAACACAGCTGGGGAGAGCTGAAACCCAGTGGCTAAAGGTAGAGCTGGGTTAACGGCAGGGAGGAAGGGCTGTGGGCACAGCAGGTGCTGCTGGCAGCCAGGCGTGGATTTCCTCCTCCGTGCATTTCCTCCTCTGGTGCTGAATCACGTTTGCATCGCTCTTCTGGGGGCCTGAGGGCAGAGGGCTTTGTGCACCACGTCTTTCTGACGGCAAAGGGAGCTTTCCAGGAGGAATTCCTGAAGGAAACCCCCGCGCAGCTCACGGCGCTCAGGTACAAGGTGTCAGCTGTCACCGAGCACCACGAGACGCCGGGATACGGCCCCAGCCAATTTGTAGGCATCACAAATAAAGCTGACAGCGCTGACAGGGAACAACTCGAGGACGCTGCCTGCGGGGAGACCCCACCACAGCTCGAGGCTCTGAAGCTGTTCAATAAATTCCTGGATTTAAGGCCAGGAGAGAGCATTCAATCATCCCGGCCGACCTTGTGCGTCGCGTTTCCCCCTGGCACAGGGGATGGCAGTGATGGGTGCTCGATCAGAGCCATTTCAGAGCCGTACCCAGGGCACACTTGGGGTACCTGAGCTACCTGCCTGCCCAAATCATCACGTCCCCTGTCTGAGCCAGCTCGCGTCGTCTCGCACGTCTCTCATGAAATCAAAGGACCTTCGCTCTCCCCGAAGGTGGTGCTGTGTTGTGTGCTCAGTGGGGAGCGTTTTCAATCGCTCACTGGCAGGGCTTTCCTCCGCACTGTGTGCCAGCCCCAGCTTTGGGAACAAGCCTGGCACTGCAGAGGTACAGGGGGGGTCTCCAAAAGAAGCAGCTGGGAGGTGAGGTTCTGAGCACATTGCCCAAAGCATCACATAGGGAGCGAGGTGGTGGGAAGAGCAACCTGAGTGACACCAGCGGGTTTCTTCCCTGCTGCCTCTTGCTGTCACACAAACCCAGAGCAAGGGACAAACCCTGGGGCAGACATGGGTCTGGTTTTGGTCCCTGGATCTCTGCCATCCACCTCCATGGGCTCACCCCAATCGATGCCGGATTAGGAGGAGAATCCAGCCCCCACCATCACTGGAGGGCATTGATGGAGTCAGCCTTTGGGTGAAGAACAGGGGACAACTGAGCAATGCTCCCGACTCCAGCAGTATGACCAGGAGTCTTGGGCACATCCAGGTTGCATCTCCACCACGTCAAGGCTTCAGAAATTCAGCAAAATCCAACAGAGTTGCTTTGAGTCTGTGGCAAGAAGGTGGAAGCACAGAGCTGGGCTACCAGGGAGCCAGAAGAACACGAGAACGAGCCCTTACAAAGCCACAGGCCTGGGTGCCTGCTGCCATCCTGAGCCCAGGTTTTGCTCTCCCAAAATGCTGTTGTGTGTTTCCCAACACGCATTTCCCAACATGTGCACGGAGGCACTCAGCCTGCTGCAGTCCTGCTGCCGGTGCCACCCAGCTTCTCAGCTTGCCCATTGAAATCTGGGACAAGGAACAATTTCTCCGAGCTGTATTCTTCGTGCATTAACTTTATTGATGAGCAACACAGCACGTTGGGCAGGATGAGGACCCTGGTAAATGAAGCAATACAGAACTGGGGCTGAAGGCAGGTAGCAACCTGCCCATCTGTAGCTCTGGAGCTCGAGAAACGTCTCCTTAAACAGGGCTGCAATTTCATGAGTCTCTGCTCTGCACTATTTGCTTTTGCTTTATATTGTGCTTGGAGGGCTCTGGATGACAAGGACACTATTATTATTATATACTCCTGCATGTGTGTGCCTGCACGCTGGCTCAGGTGTCTATCGGTCGGAATAAATTACAGGGAGACAGCGAAAGGAAATGTTGCGTTTCATTAAAGCACCGCTTTTCATTTGCACTGGGAGTTTCTCCGGTTAGAAGTCAAACTGCACACCCGCCACTTGCTAATTGCACTTTTCAGAATCAAAGGCTTTAGCCAAAGGGATAAATATATAAAATTGTCGGGAAGGAAACATTTTCTTCTTGAATTCCAAGTAAAAACTGAACTAATACAGCCTCTTTTGATAATAAAAGCAGCAGAAACATACATCAGATCTCTGTGGCTATAGGCAGCTTGAAAAGGAAGAAAAAGATCCGCTTATCGGGCCAGGAGGACTTTTCTAAGTGACTGAAATTACATTAGGAAAACCATGTCCCTGTTTCCTTCGATAATTATCTCGTGTTGTTTTAGCTTCCTTCCCAGGTAGCTCCTTCACCCGGGGATTTGCTCAGTCTCTGCTTTTCCCTGCTTTGCACCTCACCAAGAGCTAAGAGCATCGACGAGCTGCTGTGCCCAGCAGCCCCAGGGGCCCCATTTCAGGATCCTGATGCTCTCCAGCTGCCCGCTTCCCTTTCCCCTCCCTCCTTTTTTCTTCTTTTCCCAGCCAAACCGTGGCCATTCCTCACTCCTCGGGCCCTGGGACAGGGAGATGGAGGACAGAGTCACGCGTTGTTAACCCCCACTTTCCTGTGGCTGCTGGTGATTTATTACGAGCAACGAGGCATGAGGACAGCCGGGCGAGGAACGAGGAGCATCTTCGCTCCGTCCCAGCTCCAGGCTGTTTAATAAGCCCTTTTAAAGGCAGGGGGGAGCAGTACTTATTGGGTGAAAAAGTAGAGGACATTGGGTTGTATTTATTTTATGTCTTGGTTCTTAAAGAGGAAAAACGTCTCCATTTCAGAGCAGGCAGCCTGAAAGCACAGTGTCTGCAGCACGCCAGGAGGACTCAGCCTTGAGCAGTGAGGCCGGATCCTGCTCCTTTCCATGGTTTCAGAAGGCAAAACCTATAGACAGGCTGGGTTATTTATGCATTTTCACCTGGTTTCTGGCAAGACTGGTGTTTTGGCTCTGTTTTCATCAGCCGGTTTCCTCTTTTTTTTTTGTCCTGAGAATCAATTTAGTTCACCAGTTTAAAAAGAAGAGAAAAAAAAAGAAAAAAGAAAAATTCCATGATTACTAAATAAATAAATAACAAGAATAAAAACCCTACTGGAAATTCTGCAGCATTTTGCAAAAACGACTGTGAAATTTATGGAACGACAGCTAAATTGAATGAGATTAGGAAGAAAAGGGCCTGTCTATTTATGTGAAGAGTTTTCAGAGTTATCATAATTAATTATAACAAACATTTCGTAATGCACATTAAATCTCAGGCTTGGAGGCTCAGGCTGCTTCCCAGTGCTCAGGCTGGGATGTTTGCTCGGTGGGGGCTGAGCTGCAGCTGGAGGCAGCCCCAGGACTGCAGAGGTGTAACAGGGAGCAGAGTGTGCCCCTGCTCCTCCACCCGAGCACCAAAATGATGCCCAAAAATGCAGCAGTGAGCCTCAGATTGCTTAAAATCCTGCAAGATTTTAAAATTATGCAAAGGAGCCAAGCCTGGTCCATGCTTCCCCACAGCCCCGTGGAGGGGCTGGGCTCCTTGCAGCAGGATCAGACCCAGCTGTGCACGTGGAAATGCATCAGACAGGAGGGAATAAAACCAGGACAGGGTCAGAAATGCCTCACACAGACCTGGGGGATTGGAGGAGGTCACGGTGGACTCAGCTTGGCCTCACTAGCCCCTTCCATTGGTCCTGGGGGGATGGACAGGCACTAATGATGCCAGCATCGCTTGCTAGGATTTAATTAGGTACTGGCGGCTGTGGATCCAGCCCCACCTGCGGCTCCTGTTGCTGCACAAGATGTCAGCTCCTGGTGTGTACCAGCCCACGGGAGAGCCTCCCACTGTTCCTCCTGGCTGCCCACATTGGAAATGGGCTGAGGGAATGATTTCACATGGGGAGAGATGCATGGAAAACTGGGTGATGCCATGGATGAAAGGGGCTACTTGGAGCTGAATGATCCCAACCTGGAATCAGGTTTAACTCTCCTTGCCTGTGCTGTTTGGGTGCTAAGGCATGAGGCTCGCAGGGCCCCATGCAGCCCCACAAGCATCTCTGGCTTCATGGCTCTGGGTTGCCAAGGGTGGCAGGAACCACACACTGCCCCGGTAAATATGGGAATCCCCAGATCTGCTGGGAGAACTGATGCAGGCAGAGCAAAGGCAGAGAAAAATCACCTCTGCCAGGCTCCACACACACTCTCACGTGAGCAAACAGCAGGCTCGGGGTCTGACCTGTGCTCTGTCCTGCACCCCAGGAGCTAGAGGTTACCCGTCCCCCTTTGAGCAGGGCTGACCCCAACGCAGCCAGCTCCCTCCCGGCCTCCCAGCAAGGGCTGATTGCTTTCACCTGCAAGCCCTTCCCAGCTCTTCTGATATATTACCTGGGGGCTTTTCTAGTCCCTGAAGTGAAGGTTAAAAAAAAAAAAAAAAGAAAGAAAGATGCTCGGGCTGGATTTATCTCCTCCAGCACAGGGACCCGGGCCCCACGCTGCCTCCTGGGGCCGGTGCTGCCCAGCACTAATTAACCACTGCCCTGGCTGCCACGGGACCCAGCTCTCCTTGGACAGAAAGGAATAAACCCAGCAGGTGTGTGCATCACCCATTTTTTATGCTCCTGCTCTACCCACTGGGCGAGGACATCACCCAGAGTCCTGCAGGCAGGGTTAGCTCAGCGCTGCAGCGCCCGGGGTTGTTTTAGGTGCAGGACGCAGTGGGGCCGATCCCGCTGCGGTGTCCTCGGAGAGAGCCAGGAGCTCGGCACGCTGCCTCCTGGCATCCCCAAAGTCTCCTTGAATATTTGGCCCAGCAACAACAAGAAGATGTTTGGATGGGCTCATCCTGGCGCTATCTGGAGACGTTTTGTTATTAGCACAGCCCCGTGCTAATCAGCACCCTCAGGTTGCAGCTCCCAACTGGATGCAGCTCAGGCAGATGATCGCAGAAGGGACACTGGGGACTCTGTGGCACCCTGGCTGCCCCACAGCACCCTGTCACCCTGTTTCCAGCCTCAGGGACGCAGCCCTGGGTGCAGCATTGCCCTGCCAGCAGCATCCTGTGGCCGTGGCCGTGCTCCAAGTGGCCTCACCGCTGATTTGCGGCGGCCTGCAGGCATCAGCTCGCCATGCCAGGAGGTAAATCATTGCAAGTTTTTGTGCTTTCAGCAAAAAAGAGAAAGGAAAGGAAGGTGGAATTTAAAATAAATAAATAAATAAAAACTCCTACAGCCCCCCAGTGAGGGAATAAACTGCTGCAGAGCTGTGCTTGACCCTGGCTGCTGCACCAGGAGGGCACCCGGCACTGGTTATGAGCCAAAGGAACACAGCCGGGCTGAGAGCAGGGTGAGACTCCTTCCAGTGCCACCCTGGCACTGGCAAACACGGTGCCACGAAGGCTTCCCTGCCCTGGATTTTAGTGGCATGGTCAGCAAGAGCCTTGACTTCCATAGTGTGCAGTCCTTTTTCTTCCCCAGCATTAAGGGCTCCTTTTTGGCTTCTGATGGTAAAATATTCTGCTCTAATATGCAAAACAGGTTTGATATATAATCTACAGAGCTAGCCCAAGCCCTGTGTTTTACCCATCTGGGCAAAATGGTTGCGCAGAGCTGGGCATGGCAGCCCTGCAGCAAATCCTGACCCTCCGTGCTGGGTTCCCACCATCCACAGCAGTGCGAGAGCAGCTCCACTGCATCAGCAGTGCTGGTGAAAGGAGAGGAATTGAGCATCTCCCACAGCCTGGTGCTGGACTGAATCCCAGATTTGCACATCTGACAGGTTGGGGTTAAAAAGCTGTCTTTGGTGCAGAATTTGGTTTGAAGCATGGTTATGGGTTCAGCTGCCAAGGGTGCCCAGATGGGGCCCACAGGTCTGGCATAAAAAAGAAAAAGCCAAAAAAAAAAAAAAAAAGGATGAAATGCTTCCCCAGGCCAGGAAGTATTTCAATAGTTAAGGAAAAAATAAAAAATAAAAACTCTATTAGGCCAATGCAACTTCACTGAAAATTTTTACTTAATCGGCTACCATGATTGTGCCAGATGGATAAAATGAAACCTACCGAGGAAGATCCACACGTGCTTTTCTTCATTTGCAACCAATATATCAACTCAGCCTTCCTGCATGGATTGTGAAACGCAAATCTTCATGCTTTTGGAACCTAGGAATAAAGAAATAATGGCATAAAATTAAGATAAATATTTGGGGAAATCACATTTCCTGTCATTTAAAGAAGAAATCTTTATACAACAGAAAAGCTGGCAGGTCCAGCACAGTGCTGCTGATCCCCAGCTGAAAAAAAAATCATTAGGCAGGACTCAGGAATCATGAGAGTGATGCAAAATCATTAGATTTTTAAAATGGAGATTAAATCACACCCCTCGGTACATGTCCCTGCTCCCACGCTGCATGTCAGAGCAGCAGCAGCAGGGTACGCATGTCCGTGGGGAGCTCTGAGTGGGAAAATCCAAGGCTTGTGCTGCTATAAAAGAGCTGTAGTTCTGCATTGTCACTTCAAAAGATGAGCTAAATATATATACATAAATTATATATATCTATACCTGGATATAATGTCTCTCCCAGGCCTTCCCCGTGGGCACCGTCGCACCCTTGCAGGGTCCAGGGAGGTTAATAGAGCCATCCCTGCCTCCCCCTTCCAGGCAACAAATCCATTATGGGAACAGCGAGCTGCCTTGGACTCGTCAGCCTGTACCTTTTATCCATTTTGGCAGAGGAGCGTAATTGACTCATGTCATAAATCAAACATTTCTCCCCGCAAAGCTCCAGCCGCGCTTCGAACGTTTTCGTTAATGGGGTTGGGGACACCCTGTCCCCAGCGGCTGGGCTCGGACCCAAATCCCCCCTCCTGGGTGCAGGGGGGCTGGAGTGGGTCAGGGGCGCAGGGCGGACCCTAGGGTGGGGTGAGCTGGGGACGGGGCTGTCCCCAGAGCCTTTTTTGAAGTGGCCTCCATCACAGCAATGGGGAGACAGAAGAGGGGGGGAGCCCAGAGCCCCCCAGCTTTCCCCCCTGGCACCCGAGGGGCAGAACCTATGCACTTACCCTGATCAGATCCTTCTGTCACAATATCTGTCCCTTATACACCTTGGGGTGGACACCAGAGCCTTCTCCAGCTTCACACCTGCCCCCTGTGGGTGCTACCCCTGTGTGTAGGATCACCCCTGTGTGTAGGATCGCCTTGTTTGTAGGATCACTCCTATGTGCAGGATTGCCTCTGTGTGTAGGATCGCCCCTGGGTGCAGGATTGCCCCTGTGTGTAGGATTGCCCCTATGTGCAGGATCACCCATGGGTGTAGGATCACACCTATGTGCAGGATCATACCCATGTGTAGGATCACCCCTGTTTATAGGATCACTCCTAGGTGCAGGACTACCCCTGTTTGTAGGATTACGCCTAGGTGGAGGATTGCCCCTGTTTGTAGGATCACCCCTGGGTGTAGGATGGCCAACACCTGTGTCTGCTCTGGGGTCGGGGTGGCCCAGGCCCCAGCACAGCTGCGCCCAGGCCCCAGCACGCCCGTCCCTGCCAAAGCCAATGTGTCCCTGCTGGGACCGACGCGACCACCATTAGAGGCTCCTGTAGGAAAATTCCAGCCTAAGGCTCTGAAAGCGAGTTAGGGACGGGAAGAAAAACACAAATGAATTTAATAAGTGCTTAATTGGATTCTCCACAGCGGAGAAAGCTGCTGCTTCCCAGCAAACGCCCCCAGCAGCAGGCCGTGAGTCAGCCCGCTCCTCCCAGTCACACCAGTGCTGGGGGGAGGCCAGGTCTGTCCTTGGGTGACCACAGCCTGGGCACGGCGTCGTGTCCTCTGCAGGCCCAGCCCAGCCCAAATCCAGGGTGAGTGCTGCAGTTGGGGCACCTGTGAGCCCCCGAAATGAAAATGGTGGGGAACAAACCCCGGAAGTGAAGCCGTCCCCGTGGGCAGGGACATGGGATTTGCCCTCACCCGTGGGGCTGCTGGTGCCAGCAGCCCTCCTCCCACGGCTCCTGGTTATCGCCAGCCCCCTCTGTCACAACTCCATGTCCCCACGTGTGGCCCCGTCCCCAGGCCCCTCTCCCAAAGACGACGTCTTCGCTGCCTCGCGCTTCCCCAAATTGACCCGCCCTGGCTACAAATAAAGAATCTATGAGGCAAAGCTGCATTAAATCAATGAGCCAATGTGCCTGCTGCTAAGATAAGCACAGCTACCGGGGTCTCTTGCTCCGTCATTAGTGCTGGAGGATTCTCAGAGCCAGAAAACCCGGGGAGACTCATTAGGGGAAGCGCCACTTCTGGCTGGATTTACCGAGAGTCTCTCTCCAGCCTCCGCGCGCCCCTTTCTCGCTGCAGGAAGCCCTGCCCTTGCTCTGATCTGTTATGCAGCGTGCGGAGCCCATAAGGCTTTCAAAAATAACACGCTATTAAAATAGTTTTAATCAGAATTCCTCCAGCCAAGACACAGCAGCCAGAGATCCCGCTGTCTTTGGCAGAAAGGAGCTCGGAGAAATTAAGCGATGAGGGGAGGAAGTGATTTCAAAAAGCCTGGCCATATCTCGCTCCATCAGGATGGACCTGGAGTTTTTCATGGGGTTTGTACCCAGGAGGAGCAAATCGGCCTGGCTGTAAGAACAAATTTAGATGAAGAGACGGGGATCCAGCTGCAGCTCCATGCCTCTGCTGGAGGTTTTCTCTGTGATCACGTAATTTCTCCACGCTGCACGTTCCCCAGCAATCAAATGCGTTCTCGTTTCTCTTCCCTCCTGCCCTGCCTCCTTCTCTGGAGTCCAGGTTTCTCGGGGTGCAGGCACAGCAGCCACAGCTGCAGCATTTCGAGAGCATCAGAGAGAACGAGGAGGAGCAATCCCTTGGTGCAGGGGCAGGCTGGCACGCGAGCCCTTCAGAAATTAGACCCGGAGGCAGCCTCTGAAGGAACAATCCTCAGCTCCGGAGACTTCAGCTCCATTTTGGCACCTGGGGAACTCGGTGGGCCCAGGACCCCTGCAGGGGACCAGTATCCAAGAGCAGTGGGTGCTGCAAAAAAAAACATTTTTGGTCAACACGTGGCAATAGCACCGCACACGATGAGGCAACGGGATCGACTTTGCACAGTGCCTGTGCAAAAATATTTTTGGTAACGTCAGCGTCCAACCAATTGACTTTGGGATGAATCCTGAACCAGAACGTGGATGTTCATGGTCTTCTGCTAAAGGGCAAGGGTCTGCTCTGCTTCCTGGCTGAAATCCAGTGTGCTCGGTGTGTTCTGCACCTCTGCCCTTTCTGAGAAAGATCAGACCTGTGACATCTCTGGGAAGCCACCCCCACATCACTGCCCAAAGCGGGGGCTGTAAATCAGAGCTGGATCCGAATTATTATTATTTTTTTGAAGTCTCACTTGTGCTGGGTGTGGATTCTCCAGGGGCTTGTAGGGTTATCACTGCAAACCTGCATTCAGCCATGGGACTGAGAATTTCTTCCCTTTTATCCCCAGCAGCTGACACTTCCCATCCTGCTTCGAGGAGGAGGCAGAGCTGGGTAGCACATGGCCCAGGCTCCCAAAGCCGTTCAGGTCCCTGCAGAAATATTTGGGAGGAGGCACCTGGAGCACACGAGAGCATGAGCCTGAGTGTGTTCGCTTCAAAAAATAATAAAAAAAAATAAAACAGATGGTCTATCGCCGAGAGAAACAGGCAAACAATGAATGGATGCATCAAAAAAAAAAAAAAAAAAAGCCAACAAAAGCCAGGCATTCAGCATTACCGGAATAACCTCAAAATACACTTCTTTCTTTTCTTTCTTTTTTTTTTTTTTTATTATTCATAAATTGCTATGAATTGGAATTTTTCTCCACTTTCAGGAAACTGGAGGCTTGTGATGGCTCTGCCCATTTCCAAATGAACGAGTGGACTTCCCTGCTATGCCCTCCTCATCTTGTAGGGAAAAGGGGGCTCAGCCCTCCCTCGCCACCCACCAAACCATTTCATTTGCAGGACTCCAGGCTGCCATGGCCCAGTTCTCCCAGTTTAACAGCCCCAAGCATCAGCATCAGCCACCCATACTGGGAAGAGCCCTGCGGATGGCATCTCCAGGAGGTTCCTGCCCAGCGTGGCGTGGAAACATAACACCACAGCCCCAGATTTAATTAAAATAAACCATCCTATGCCATCCAGAGCCTCGTTGTTTTGCAGGGTTGTTTCAATAATTATAAAATAAATTGCATTTCTATTGCGCCTTTCATCCTTGGATCTCAAAGTGCTTTACAAGCATTAATTAATTTAGCTTCCAAATAGCCTCTCCCTCTGATGTCGTATGAAAATTTAATAAACAGGTAGTTGGAGAGGTGGGGGGGATGCCTGGGGGCATGTGGCAGGTCAGAGGCAGCCTTGGAAGGAAAACCCCCAAAAGCCAAAGATTTCAAGTAATGAGGGTGTGGAAAAAAGAGGAAAAAAGCTGTGAAATAGGGGCATGGACATAGCAGCATCCAGCCCCCATCAGCCTACCTGAGCCCCCCACGCCTGCATGGTGGCAGGGAAGGGGAAACCCCAGCTGCGAGTGGCAGGAGCTGTTAAGGCACATGACATATTGAGGGAATTAAAACACATTTAGGGAAATCTCCAAATAGTGTTTTTTTTTTTTCCTTCCTTTTTTTTTTTTTTTTTTTTTCCAGCTTTAAAGAATAACACTGACTGTCTCAAGCTGTGGTAATGTATTCAGGCAACACAACTGAGTCAGAGCTAATTGAATTTAAAAGCAGGTATTACATCTGTGCCTTCGGAGTGAGTACATCCTGAAAATCACTTCAGTGATGAAGTGTTTTACCCAACTACTACTTAATCTTTTTACATAGAAAGCAGAATTAACCCTGCTGTGCAGCCTTCATTAAGGGAACCAAATGAAGTTACCTGGTGAGGTTCAAATTTGCTGCAAGTGGTAAAACTTCAGCTGAAGTTTCTCAAATCCAGAGGGACTCCTTTTTTTTTTGTTGTTAAAATCCGCCAAGTGCTTTAAACCAGGTCAGTTATCTGGGTCCTGCTCATCTTCCCTTCGTTAAATCCAGGAGGAAATCAGCACACCTGTCCCTGTGTATAAACACGGAGATGAGCAGAGAAATGGGTCATATCCCTCCCTGCTCCTCATGCCTCTCCCTGACAGAGCCTGCACCGCCCCACCTGCTCTCTTTTCCCCTTTCCTATTCCGTTTTCTCTTTCCAGGAGGAGAAAATAATTGAAGGAGAAAACGTGCCCCAGAGAAAACCCGATAAGCTGCGCCCCCACTGGTGCTGAGCCTCGTCCAGAGCCCCCTGCTCCCCAAGGACAGGGCAGGGCAGCAGCCTGAAGGCAATGAGATGTGAACTTGGCCCTGATGGAGTAAAAAAAAAAAAAAAAAAAAAAGCCCATCACTTCTTTACTACTCCTCCTTCTTCTAAATAAATATATTAATACTTAATTTATATGATATATAAATAAGTATATATCATATATACTTATATGATATATAAGTATACTCTAGATACTTGGTATATCACTTCATGCACATTTTACTTACATATTTATATATAACATATTTATCTATCACTTTATATACTTGTTATATCACTTTATATATTTATAACACATATCTTTATATATATATTAATTTATACACTTAGTATATCACCTCATACCAAGTAAAAGCCCAAACCCATCAGCTGAGCAGCAGCGCTGGGTGCACCCCACCAGCACCCCCATCCTCAGGGTGCTGGGGGGGTCACAGACCCTCCTTCCCCTGCAAACGGAGAAGGAAAAAGGCCCCGCAGAATCATTTCTAAAACCATCGCAGCGAGTGCCTGGTTTTGGCTGGCGGTGTTTATCCAGCAGCTCCCGAGGCAGACACCAGGGAGCTGGGAAAGCTGCGGGGATCCCCTCAATGCCTCATGAATTTCAAGCACAGACAATTGATTTACATCGCCAGAAATTTACACGGGTAAGGAAAAAAAAAAAAAAAAAAAAAAAAGAGCTCTTCACCATTCATTAATTTTCTCTAAAATTCATTCATCCAATTAGGCAGCTGAAATGGTGCGTTGTAATTTAGATACCCCGTGACACTCCATGACTATTGATGGTTCCCGATTCAAAGGGAACAGGAACAGAATAAATCCCTGGCTACGAGCTCTTCAAAACCTAATTTCCTTCTAGTTATGAACCAGGAAATCATCCGGAGAAATCAGGAGAGATTCAGACAAATTTATTTTGGGCATCAGGAAATGGAGCAGATTCTTCACTGGCCACGAGCAAGACTTTTCAGCTGTAAATGTTAGGTTGTTTGTTATTGTTGTTGTTGTTTTTTTACAAAATATTTTAGTATTTTCCAATGAAGAATCTGAAATAGGAGATCCCACCCTTGTGTGTCAGCCCCGGGAGGACATCTCCTATAGCACTGCCAGCTTGCTTAATTGGAGTTTCATTTCCAATCTCGGTATCTTTATTAGCAGCCAGAGGCACCAGGCAAGACAACTGCCAAAGTCCTTACATCAGGTTTGTGCTGCAGAGGGCAGGTTTTAACAATAATAAACAAGGTGATTTGACGTTTGCATCTTTGCCATGAAGAGTCATTGTGATTTTCTGACCGAGCTGGACTGTGGATGTTATCAGGGACACGGAGTAGAGCCACTGGAGCCACGAGCATCACCAGTGGGGTGCTCCCAGCTCCACGTGGGCAGAGGAACCCTGGCCCATTATGCAGAGGAGGAAAGCAACATGCAGGGTGACAAGGCTCCCTTTGAAAAGTTGAATAAAATAGCTATCCTGGAAAAAAAAAAAAAAAAAAAAGAAAGAAAAAAAAAAGTATTAAACATGAAAATTGGGTTTTCCCCAACTTCTCTTTCTGCCTCCCCACCATGAGCAGGGGCACTCCAACCACTTGTGTGCAAGATGCATGTGGCTAGCCCAATTTAATGCAGCTGAAGAGGGAAATTTGGGCCAGGCTAAGCGATTTGAAGCCCCAAGAAGTCCATCAGAGGCTGTGGATGAGGACTGAGGACTTCGTGTTCTCCAAACGACCATGAAACCACACTGCTGCACTCAGGGTCCTGCTCTACCTCAGGACTATGGTAACACACGGCACATATAATACAGCCATAAATATTCAAGTCAGCTGGCTTCATCCTGTAAGTGAATATGGAGATATATATAGACACGTATTTAGAGAGAGTTATGGGAGTGCAACTCATCATCGTAACACATGAGCACTTACAGAGTTTTCCAGGATTTAGGGTGAGATCCAGAGATGCACTTTGGCTGCTGTAACATGGGCAACGCAATACTTACATTAGGGTGGCCAGCCCCACAGGCTGCCCCAAGGACACAGCATCCACGGGTGGTCAATACTGAGAATGTTTTCCGAGAGGATCCAAAATCTGCAGCCCCCAGGGCCCAGGAGAGCCCAGGCTGTGATTCCAATGACTTCTCAGCTCCTGGGTCTGAGCCCATCGGCTTCCCTGCATTTCAGTGCCATCTCCATACCCCAAAGAGGGATGATTTTCTTTCCTGGGCTGCATGAAAGGTCTTTCTGATGTCCTACAGAAATGCTGGGGTTGCAGCCCGGCACCCCAAGCCTCAGCCCAAGCTCCCAAGCCATGCCACAAACCCCCTTGGTGCAAAAAGCCACGATGCAAGTCCCTGATCTGGGAAGCCACGGAGGTTTTGAGGTATCCCCCACTCGCACTGCCCTCCAGATGCATTTCTCTACAACACCATTGCCCTAACCCATGCCAGGAGGGGAACCACCTAAAACCTCTGCCTGGCTGGGTCAACCAAAGCCTTGGCAAGGCAGTCCGTGCTGTGATGAGCTGCGCTGCAGTGAGAAGCATCAGCCTTTACGTTGGTTAATTTTTGAAAATCAAGCTCTAGAAAAGCAAAGTGAAGGTCTGGAGATAACGAGGAAACGCCTGGTGCCAGGCCTCTGTCAGCACCGGGGAAAAAAAGTCCCTTTTCCCCCAAAGCCTCCCAGATAAAAAAAGGAAGAAGTAAATAAATTTCACTGAGCCTTTTGAAAACGCTCTAATTGCCTTTGTGGTCTAATTGCTCCTGGTTTTACAGCCTCATTTCTTGTCATAAAATTAGTCCCACTTTTTTATGCTTTTTGCCTTTGCTACTGGTCTGTGATTATTATTTTTTAATTGCTTTGGTATGTTGATCTCTCCCACAGGTCCCTGGGGAAGGGGGCGAGGGACCTCATCCTGCAGCTGTCGCTGTGCGGAGGATGCTGCAACTGCTGAAAGGAGGCAGCTGCTCGATTTTTGGGGTGAATTTTGGCATTCCTCTCCCCACTGATTGCCTTTAGTGGCTGAGAACAGGGCTGAGCACAGAGACCATGCCTCGAGCAGAGCTCAGCCACGACAGGAGGAAACTTATTAGAAGCGTAGCAATTTCTTTCAGGACTTTTCAGGGGGAAAAGAAGAGATGGAGATACAAGATGCAACCATTGGGAATGTAATAAGGGCGTACAAGGAAACAAAACCACCTGAAAAAGATAAAAGCTGCATCATCTGTAACCCTTTTAATAACCATCTTATTTCAAACAGCACCAACTTCTTCTCACTGCCTCTCCAGAACAGCATCTATATTTGTTTTCTTTTTGATATACAGCTGCAATAGGAAGCCATGCGTGAAGTTTATTAAGCCTGGGTAATTTTCTATCAGTTCTGCGTGCTATTGATTTCATCTATACTGTTATCTGGCTCTGACTGAACCTGAAAAGTCATTTAAAAACAAAAAAAGCATATAATTCTTCAAAAATACAACTATTATGGGATGGAGAACGTTGCCATTTTGGATGCATTAACAACATGTTGAAAATGAATGTGTCAGAGATACAAATCTTATTAAGGAGGCTTTGATGATACCGAGACTAGGAGGGAGGGAGCCGCCGGAGCCGAACCCGGACGCGGAGCCGAATCTGAACTTCTCTCCGCCAGTATCTCTCTCAGGGGTGGAAGGAAAATTGGATTTGCTTTGGCTTTCGTCCAGCCCTGCTTCATCCTGAACCACTGTCCAACCTCTCCCACGTCCTTGGAGTTACTCCCAGTTTGTGGCATAAGCAAGAGTGAGATCAGCCCGAGCAGCTCTACCCAGCGCGCTGGCGATGCTCGGAGCTGGCGTGGGGCCACCTCGGGCTCGCGAGCCTTGCGCAGTGTCACAAATGCAGATCCTCAATGCAGAAAAGCAAACCTCAGAGCTTTCCCCAAGCTACAGGAGATTTGCAAAATCTGCATCCGGACCCAGGGCTTCCCAAGGGCTGCACTGTGAGATGGGAACAGGCGGAGATGTGCAGCTGGCAGGGGACCGTGTCCCATGCACCCCACACCCAAGAGTCACCTCCCACAGCCAGCAAAGTATTTTCCCACGTCTGGATCATCAGCCTCATGTTTTGGGCTCCCCAAATCAAAAAGGCAATGGTGACAGAGCGAGTTAGACCTGGCCAAAGCCAGGCCCAAACCTTGCCAGAGCTGCAGGATGCCAGGATTTGGGTCAGACCCTTCTGCACTCATTTTGTCAGCTCCCTCATCTGACTGGCATCAACCACCAGGCAGTGACATTTAAAAGATATTAATTAAGACATCAAAATATATCCCTCTAATTTAGCTCCTTGTCAGTCATGGGGACGGGCACAACCTCCCTGGCGCCAAGCACAACCATCCAGCCAGAGGCTGCCCTGCCGTAACCAGAAATACCCTTTTTCCTCCCAGTTTTTCACCATTTTTGGGGTGACCTCCCTGTTCTGACACCAGCCAGACCAACGTAATGGAGGGACAGCAAACAAACCAAACCCACAGTACAAGGAGAGTTTGTCCTGGCTGGGCTTGGAAAAAAAAAAAAAAAAAAAAAAAAAGGAAAGATAAAAAAAGAAAAAGAAAAGTACAGCCGAAGGCTGCGAGATGAGTTGCGGGAATGAGAGTGCTTTGTGGGACATAATCCAATTCCTGCTGGACAAAATCCATCATCCCCTCCGTACTCACCTGCCTCTGCGCCAAGAGAGGCCAAAGATAGCCAAAAAGTTTCAGAGACCTCCAAAAATTTGTCCTGACAGTTTGGGGCTTGGGGGGTGGGGGGCACTTTGGGGAGGACAGTGAGGGGAAACCCCAAATGCATTTGCTGGAGCCAGGAGCTCCAGTGAGAACCGACAGCAGCAGCAGGACGGCTCCATGCATCTGCAGCCCAAAACCTTCTGCTCGTCACAGTCGCTCTCCAAAACCTCCCTGGAGAAAACCTCTGCACTGCAACTGAGCTCCTCGCAGGCATTTCAGGAAGGGGCTGGGCGCCTTTTCCACCTCCCAGCCCCTGGCTGTGCAGATCCCCGGGGATTTGCTTGCGCTGGATCTTTCCTGCAGGGTGTTGAAGGGGAGGAGAGAGGCAGAGGGGAGGAAGGCACAAACTTTGCCTGCGATGCTCCAGCAGCAGCTGAACGCAGCCAGGCACTTCCCAAAGAGCTGAGGAGCAGCCCCACGGCTGTGACATTTGCAATGCATTAAGTTTAAACATTTTCAATAAAGAAAAACAATCCATTCAGACTTGCTTTATGATTCATAGTAATTGCAAATAGAAGCAGTTAATATAATTGTCCAGCTGAGACCAGCAGGCTGGGAACATGTAGCAGTGAGATGTACAATCAGGGAAGGTTGGGAGGGAATTTAAGTGCAGGTTAAGCAAATGCATTACTTTAATAACACACAGAGACAGCCCTTGTAGTTATAAAGAGGATAAAATAAATATTGTACCAGAAATCTACAGAATGGGAGGTTTTATCACCAAGAACTGCCCGCTTGCTATTTACTTTCAATTTAGATTTTACAAAAGCTGCTCTCGCCATGTTTTTTATGTATGGAAGAGAATGACTTGAATTGACAAATGACCTTATTTCTCCATAAGTTTTGCAAGGGAGCCTCAGTTTCTCAAAGAAAAATGATCGCCTCCCAGCAGTCATCCCAGAGAGAGAAAGATGCTTCTTTTCTCTCTTTTTTTTTTTTTTTTTTTTTTAAAGAAAAAAAAAAAAAAAGGAGGACTATAATTCAAAGAGGAGCTGGTGCTTCTGCTCCTCTCTCTCTTGGAGGTGGGCCAACCTCTTTGACTTCTCCAAATCACAGAGGAAGGGACGGGCTTCTCTGCAGTGCTTTTCAGCCTGGATTTCAGCCCTGTCCTTACTGCGTGTTGGATGTGGCCGTGGTGGCAGCTAACAGCAGGGGAGGAGAGCCCAGCCCTAGGCAAAGGGCAAAATGACGTCTTGGGGGACCACACGGGGACCAGTGCTGCTTAATAGCTTTGTTAATGACTTAGGCAGTGGTGTTGGTGCACCCCCAGCAAGTTTGGGATGGCAGGGAGCTGAGCAGGACAGAAGGAAGGGATGCTGCCCTGACTGTGCCCACCTGAAGCTCCACAAGGCTGCTAGGGCATGGCTCCGGTGCCGCATGAAACTCCATGTTTCCCTGGGAACTGGGGCTTTTCCTCCTCTCATTCCCTTTAAATAAGTAACTCGAGCCAGTTCAGCACGAAGCATGCCAGGAGGAGGGGGTGAGGCATCACCATCATCATTTATCTGCCTTAACCAAACTCTGGCTCTCCAGAGAAGAACTAGAGTGCTTTATTTATTAAAAGATATTTCGGCGGGCAACATATTAAATTAAAGCATCTTGTTCGCAGCCTCACGACTTAACGACACATAAACAGCTAAACAAAACAGAACATCGGCTCATTACAACCATTTATAAAATATTAAGGGTCTTAAAAATTAATTATTCACAGGCACCTTCCGCTTGTTTATGGCTGGAGAACAAGAACGCACAGGCTCGAGCGGGCTACCTGCGATTTGGAAGAGAAATGCTGTAGAAATCCCTCGGGGTGCCAACAGGTGTCCCCTGATCTTGTGGGGACCCTGGGTGCCACTGTCGCCTTTTGGGGTGGACATTGGGTCCTCTACAGGGGAATCATCATTCAGCATCGCCCAGCCAGGCAAAGGGATAACAACCCCCCAAAATACCAGTACCCCCTCAGCAAGACCCCAAACCCCATCGCGTGGTGGCAGATGCAGCGAACAAGCCCATGCCCAGAGGGTTTCAGATGGGGGGAAGGAGGCAGGGAATGCAATTTTAAAGTCGCAGAATTTAGCATTAGAAGGTAATGGGATTGCAGTGGCTTTCCAGTAAATGTCACTGCTGTAATTAGGAGAACAATTATTGTCAACTAGCAGGACCGTCCCCTATCTGTCATTTCAGCAGGAGCAGCCAGAGCCACAATTAGCGCTCAGGCAGGGTCGCCCCGCTCAAATGCCTCCAAATAGGGCCAGAGCAGCACGGGGGGTGCCGGGGCCAGCGAGTTTTGGAGGCTCGACCCCCCCGGTCCCACTCCTGATTTACACCAGCCAAGGTGATGCTGCTCCTCCCGTCTCCATGGAGCTATCGATTACGGCCCCGGCCGCTGTTCTGGCCTCACACAGCCAAGCACTTAAGCAACGTGGAGAACAAAAACCAACAAACCAACGTGCTGAACTGATTTACAAACTCGAGGCCCTGGAGGCCAAACCTGCCTCCGCCTACAGCAGCACGAAGCTGGAGGAGCTCCAGGGAGGAGGAGGAGGAGGAGGATGCTCCGGCAACGAAGGCAGCCCAGGAACGTGTGCGTTACCTCCTGCTTCACCCCCATCCACTCATTGCCTCGGTGAGAGGGATGCTGCAAGCTCACTGATGGCACTCCCAAAACATGGGGCACTGGTGGGTATAAAGAAGTTCTCGTGATGTTGGAGGAAGGAGGCTGCAGCCACAACCTGCTGTTAATGGACCCAGAGACCCCCCCAACTCCTGGTGCACAGCCCCAGATCCCTCAAAACCCAACAGGAAAGTGCTGCTGCTGCTCAGCTGCACGGCAAAGAGGGCTCGGTGCTTCCCTGCTTCAGTGGAGGTGCCACCGCCAGCAAACCAATGGAGGAAAATTAAAAAAAAAAAAAAAAAAAAAACAAAAAAAACAAGCAGCACCATGCATCCAAATTTCCCACCTCGGGTGGAGAAGAGGCTTCTGCTAAAAAGGGAAGGGGGATGCAATGGAAGGGAGGAATGTAGGGGGGAAATTACATCCACTGAAAGCATTTGCAGCATCTTTGCAGCTCGCCGTGATTAACTGTGGCCAGAGTGCTATTAGCAGCCTGGTATGATGATTAACAAGCTCTCCTAATAGCTGTTTTTAAACCTGCTTTAAAAAAGCCAGAGCTGGAAGGGGGTGGGGAGACCGGGTGGTATCTCCAAGGAAACCAGAAACAAAATGGGCTTTGGCACATCGCACAACCAGGCGGGTAATCAAAGATTACAACCAGTTTTAATTTAAGGTTAATTATTGTTTACTCTCCGGAGGCGGCCCCGGTGGAAGGCAGCAGCCGCTCTGACCTTCAGCAGCTCGTGGCGGGGCCCCCCCGAAAGCCTGGAGCAGGAGCAGGGCTGAAGCCAGGGGAAACAGGAGCTGCAAGGGGGAGAAATCGATGGAGGAGGGAGGCAGAAGAAAACAGGGATGGAGGCATCTGCCGCCGAGAACCAGTTCCACCCAGGTGCCCGCTGCAAAACTCCATTCAGCGTTATTTTAATGGCTGCCCCCTCTGCAGATGCTGTTAATTAATATCGGGCTCCCATTGATTTCCCATTCGGTGAGATCACACCGGCAGCTCCGCACAAAACCAGCCCCGTTTTTATCAATGAAAACGTTGTCGCCCTGCCCCGGGGAGAAGCCAGAGCTCTCCACTGAGGATTTGGGACGCCGGGGTCACGGCTGCTTGGGGTGCTGCCTTTGGTTGAGGCCCAAAATTTGGGAGCCACTCTGAGCCCTTCCCCAGCCCCTTTCCACAACCCCAGTGAGTGGATGAGGGCTTCTCCTTCCCCTGACCACCCGTCCCCCTTCCTTCACCCCCAAAGCTACCCCATAAACCCAACACTCAGCCCATTGAGCCCCATCTCCACAAACACCCCTCCTGGCCCCAAATCCCCGCTCTCCTCCCCGGGCTGCACTCCCTTTGTCTTTAAAACCCCAAAGCAGCATGCAAAGACGTGGGATATTTCTCAAAGTCCAGACCAGGAGGCTCTTTCTCCTCCCCAAAGCCATTTTGCTGCTGAGGAATGGCAGCTGGGATTAAGGATGGTGACAACTCCCCTAAGCTCTCCTCCCTTTGCTCGCAGACAGACATATTTAATTATGATAGAAAGGCGATCCTAGCGCGCGCTGCAAATACTTAAGGTGATTTGAAGCGTGAAGCCGCATACGGTTTGCGAGATTTGAGTTCCCAATCTGTTTGGGCTTGTTTAGGCACTTTCTGCTGTTTATTCCCTCTGTATCTCTATACGCTTCTTGGCACTCAGGGGCTTCAGGAAGCCGGCTCTGGAACATCACCGCAGAAAGGTTTCGACAGCTTCATTCCACTCCGTGCCTGGGCTGAAAGGCTTTAATAGTGACCAGAGGACAGGGCTGGGTGATGGGTGCTGGAGGAGGCAGGCGGCTCTCTCTGGAGGAGTTTTCAGCCCCTTGCTGTGGGATTCGTTTCTCTCTCGCTCAGCGCCTTGCTTTGGATGCAGGGGGGTTGCCAAGGTCTTTGCAACTGGGTGTGAAGGAATTGAGAGGTTGCTCTCTCTGGGCATGAAGCAACCAAGAACGGATTTCAGACCTGGGTAGGAACAGGTTTAAATCCTGCCTGGCTGGAAACAATGCGGGCATTCAGAGAAAATAAAATAAAATAAAATGAACAACTTTCCAGTGTTAATATTTGCTTGTGAGCTCATATAAGTAAGCTCCAGACACCTCAGAACTTTTCTCCTATCAAGCTGCCATCGGAGGTGTTTCTCTGATCTATTTCTTACTCCTTCCTTCTGCAGCATCACCACTTACAGAGTGAACCCCAGCACAATCCCATCCAAACCAAAACCAGAAGAATCCCCTTTATCATTTCACGGCCAGGGCACAGGAGGCGATGCCATGGCCCACCCCTGCTCAGGGAAGATCTGCCCCAAATCCTCATCCTTCACCCACCAGGCAGCCTCTCCAGGCAGGTGGGTGCCCTGACTCCAGTGCTGCCTTTGGTGCCGTGTTGCCTTCATTTCCAAAGATGCACTCAATTAAACGCAAGCTCTCTGTATTCACTTCCCTGAATGAGGTTTTAAGGTACTCACATATACTTAATTAAATCTTACAGATCCTCCGGCGTTTCTGCAAACACATTTCCTATAGGAGATGTGCCGTGGTTCCCTACTGTGTCATTTCTGTGGACACCCATCGTTTTTCAACCCTATTAAATTCTACGAGCAGCTCTTATGATTTCTATCACCCCTTCAGAGGGACCAGCTGTGATTCCCAGGAGGGCAGCTTGTCCCTTTCATCTCCTGCTCCAGCTCCCGGGCTCACCAGCCCAGCTCCAGGTCTGCTGGGAGGACGGATCCTGGCACGACAGCAACCACACAGCCTGGCTGGGCTGATCTGGGGGCTTTGACCCAACGGGGGAGTCTTGATGCCAGTAAATATTTCCCTTGGTGGGAAATAAGTCCTAATTTACATGCAACCATGAAGTCAGCCTGGCTGTTGACACCAGATTTGGGCCAGACCCTCAGCAAAGCCCAGCAAATATCCAACAACCACTGCCGTGTGTTGTCCCCAGGTTTGTCCCCTTCCTGGGCTCCTCGTCGTGCAAAAAAGCACATTTGCATCGTGCTTTTGCACAGTCAAGGGCTGCCTGGAGCCCTCAAGAAGGGCTCAGGGATGAATTATCACCCCCACCCACTAGAGCTGGAGTGGAGACAGGGCCAGGAGCGGCCCATTTTGGGTGTACGTGGCCATTTTGTGCCTTTCTCAGGGTTATTTTTCCCCTTCGAGCTAGGGAAGCACAACACAAACTGCAGAGGCTCAGCAGCCAAGACAGCCAGCACCTTTGCACTGAGGAAATTAGAGCTGTAAACACAGGAAAAAAAATATCAAAAATATTGCTATTTCGATAAATATACTCACAGCAGTGTCTGCCCGAGACACGGCCTCGGGAGACGGGCACACGAGGAACCCAGGACACCGCAGTCATTGCCTGGCAGCACCAGCTCCTCGTCGGGTCCCAAGAGGGGAAAACAAAATGGGCCGGGGAAAGCAAGGCGAGAAGGATGCTTTGGGCTTTGTGGTGTGGAGGATTTATTTGTTTTGGGTTTTAAACCATGGTTTTGCATCCCAGCGTTGCCATGGCAGCGGCGGAGCGGACCACACGCTGCGTCCTTCGAAGCCGAGGGAGCTGAGTGCCGCACCGATCGCAGCCGGCGATGGCTGAGAGCAGCTGGGGCCCAAAGAGGGCACCAAGGGGCCAAAAATCAACATTGAGCCTCAAAGCACAGCAAAGAGCCAGCACGAGGCCTCAGCTGGGTGTGCACCCCAAAACCCTGCATCAAACCCGTGCTTTAGGGGAAAGGTGGGGATGCACAGGGGCAGATCCTGCATCGTGCCCAGACCCCATGGCATGACTGACCCATGGGCACAGGGCTCAGAGCCTGCCCACAGCCTTCTGCAAGACCCAGCTGCCTGCTCCAGCCCTCTGCAGCCCCCTTTATGCCCCTGCCAGCAGCTGCATCACTTTAAAACCCAATTAATGGCAGCAGCCATAGAAAATCAGCACCTTTCCCTTCCTATGAAGGAGGTGATCGCAGCATTGCTGCCTCCTGGAGCTCCCCTTTTCAGCAAAAGGGGCATTGAGAGATGTGGGTACCCAAACTTCACACCTTCCACATCTCTCCCAGCCACTCTTCCCCTTGTAGTTGCTCCGGGGATCTCTGCTCCCCCGTCTCGAATTCGTGCTGTCCTTCTCCCCGTTCCCCTGAACGCTTCTCTTTATTGTCCTGTTGGTCTCCTCTCCACGGTGTAATTTTATCTTGTTAGAGCAACGCCGGGCTGTGTTTACTTTGTTTTACTTTTGTGCTGCTTTTTATTCTAAATTCTCTTCATCTGGGAAGCACTTTATCAGCGAGGGGAGGCTGAAGGAAGCTATCTTTCATCCTTATCGAGATTCCTCTCCTTTCATTATCTCCAGTGCTGCTACAGAGCATCAAAAGGGCATCTTTGTTCTTGCAATCTAATGTAATTTCAAATATAGCAATTCGAGCCTTTTGAGAAAATTATGTACGCAAACACACATCCATTACCTCCCCTCGCCTCCCCCTGCTATGCTCCTTGGGGTGCCCAAAGGCTGTTTTGGGGTTAAGGTGCATGAGGAGGAAGAGGATGCTCTTAGGGCCGTGTGGGATGAAGAAAGAGGATGGGGATGAGCCAGGACAGGGCTCGGGCATCCTGTGGGTGCGTGGGTGTCCCCGAGGGCTGTGGGGACAGCGGGGGCAGCCAGGAGCTGGCAGTGGGCAGCGTTTCCACCTGCCAACCTGCCTGCCTTCGGCTGGGAAAGCTGCTCGGTGCCAGATGCCAGCGAGCGGCCCAGATGTTTCCTCCCTGCTCCATCTGTGCCGGAGCCGCCTGCAGCCCTCGGCCGCGTGGCGTGAGACCACCGGAGTGCTTTGAGGGGACCCCGTGCTCTGGTTTGGCTCAAAATCCTCCACGCTGAGGTGCTGGGAGGTCAACAGGGCCCTGCCCCTGTCCCAGCCAAGAAAACCCAAATCCGACTTGCCTGTCAAAGGGGGATCACTGCACCTCAAAACCCTGCAAGTCTTCCTCAGCACCAGATCCTGGTCCTTCGCTCCCCCAGACCTCACCCCCAGCTCCTCTTCCTCACACTCAGCTATGGGGATCCCCAGGGGACTGGATACGGCCACAGCACGGCCGGAGAATCACCAGCCCCCACCTCCGTGCCCCTCCAGCTGCTTTCTCCCAGCCCTGCTCCATCCCAACCCCTCGTCCCTGTCCCCTCACATCCCAGAGATAAGCAGGTGTGAAGGTGGAAGAGCTTTTGTTTTTAAAGCACCTGGAATTAAGGAACACGAGGGGGCTTCGATAGATTCTGGAATAAATTGCCCATGAAAGTGCTGGGGAAAACCTATCGAGGGAAAAAAAAGAGAGAAAAAAAAAGAGCCGATGATATATCTAGGAAGGAAAAAAGAGGAGAGATCGGGAAGCGACTGGCTGATTGTTCCATAAGCACCTCTTAAAAGCAAACACAATAGACATGAGCAGTTTTTAAAATGACAGACAATACAATGGGAGATAATATATTTAAAACCCATATCAGTTGTTAACAGACCATAAAAACGCCGGTACATTAATCTATGCTGTCTGTCATAGACTCATGAAGCAGCTGTGTTATTTTATAGTTTCATTCCTGCGGGCTTCTCTGACACTTCCACAAATACATCTCAATTTATTTGGATAAGAACAAATAGAAATATTGAATTCTTCTTCCTCTGCTTCTGCTGCTTTTTTATTTTTTTCCCCCCAGCCCCACGACTGGCAGTAGGCACTCGGTACAGCTCTGCGACTGTGTTTTTATCTGCCAAAATGATTGTTTTCTCAGAAATGCAGCAGGCAGACGGATGCCTCATCCCTCGCTTTGGACTTTCCGAGCTCCTTTTGCATCCTTGTGGCGAGCAGGACAAGGCTGGGCTGCACAGCACCCTTGGGGTGGCACAAATCCTGCTGGGTTGGTTAACTGAGATTTAAATAACAATCAAAGTGTTTCCTCTGCTGTTTCTTCAATTTTATTTTTTTATTTTTTATTTTTTAATATATATATATATATTATTTTTGTAATCAGGTATCAGGGTTTTGTTTTGTTTTGTTTTATTTTTCTGTATTGGCCAAAAAAGAGCTGGCTGCCACAGGGGTGTGAGGAGAAGGGGCTGGTTGGGGAACCGTTTGGGGGAGAAAAGCCCTGCTGATAAAGTTCCTTCCACCAGCTGGAAACCTCCAGGAAGTCCCAGGCAGCATAAGGTTAGCAGCACACTGAGCTGTGGGTATTGGGGTCAGCTCTCCCCATCCTGCATCGCTCTGGGGCCCTCATCCAGGCAGTTCCTAAATCCAACGTGGGTTGGGATTTCTGCACTAACAAACGCCCGCCTTGCACCTTTGCTCTCTGAGCTCTGTCCCCATCCCCACCTCCCTCCTCCTTCCCTGCGAGGTGGGACCAGCGTGTCCCTAAATCACACACTAACTCCCATCGCTTTTGCTGCCTGTTTGCTTTTATTTCTAAAGAGGCAAGAGGAGGAGAAATAATGTGCTCCTTTGCTCCCCGGGAACATAAAGCATGGATGAGGTGTTTGCTCAAAGCCATAGTTTTGTTTTCCCTCTAAATTTGCACTCAACTTCTCTAAGCATCGTTTTTTTTGATGATAAATCCATGCACACGTGAAGCAAAGTGCATGGTGCCATCGATGGCAGAGAGAGCAGCAGCTCCCAGGCAAGTGCAGGATGTGTCCTCTCCATCCCTTTTTCTAGGACAATATTCCCACCTAACTGAGGAGCCCCCTGCTAACAGCTGTGCTGTCACCCCATGAGCTCCCCCAGGGCTCTGCAGGACCTATGGGCACCCCAAACCCACCCTGGAGCTGCTTTTCCCTGTGCTCCAGCACAACCCCGCAGCAAGGGGAGCTCCAAGCAAGTGTTTAACATGAATTATTCCGGGTGACAACACGCGGTAGGTTCAAAGCTCGTATACAAGCTTTGGTGTGGGTCCTTCAAAGCAGAGGCATTTCTGCTCGAGTCCCACAGGACGCTCGCTGGGAATTGCTTAAGAAGTTGCAAAGTGCTCAGTGTGTGGATCTAATGAGGGGGGAAGCAGAGCAGGAGCCTGCCTGGGGAAAACCAGCGGGGTCTGGAAAGGGCTCGTGCCAAGGGAGCTGGAGCAGCTCCTTGTAACACTGAACCAAACTTCAGTCACCCTTAATTTGGGATTTAGGGTCTGGTCCTGGTGGAGACTGCAAGGGGAGCACCTTAGGGTCCCTCCCGACTGGGACAGACGGTCACCATAGGCACAGACCCCAGCGTTCAGTCCCGATGGCGCTCGGGGGAAGGCAGGGACAGGCACCAGAGGGGGACCCACTGCAGTGCCCCCAGGCAGGGGTCGCTCTCCCGGACGCATTTCTTTATTTGTGCCATCTCTCGGTGCCCCAACACCCACTCTGTGCCTGCTATTCTCAAGCAGGTGGGCAAGGAAGGACACACAGACAGCTCACCTGGCAGCAGGAAGGGGACAGCAGCATGAGCCGCCTTCCTATGGCAACTGCCAGCCCCAAAGCCTTCTGCCTGCATCCTGGTGGTGCTCTGGAGGCTGCTGGAGTCGCAGAAGATGCTCAGGGGTGTGGAAGAGACAGGGACCAGCACCACCTGGCAGCTGCCATGGGGAGCTGGGTGCTCTCCGCCACATTTGATCTCCCCCCATTAGGAAATCCCTGTGGTCAGATCTCCACCACTGACTGTGAGAGAGAAAATCATCTGCAAAGCAGGTTGGAAGTGCAGAGAGGAGGGAAAACCACCTTTATTATTACTGCTATCACCATTATCAACACCACCTTTCTTCTGCAGCCACACGCCAAGCAGAGCCCTGCCCTGCCCCTGTCCCCGTACCCTACCCGCCAGGAGGAGCGCGTTACCTTACAAACGATTGTCACTCAACCTGCCAAACCAACACAATTACTTCCCTTCGATCATAAAAGTAGACAAATAAACATCTGTCATCCGCTCATAACCTCTCAGTTTGTCATCTGAAATGCTGCTGCTGCTGTCTCCGGCCTAGCGCGGCCCGGCCTGGCCCTGTCCCCGCTGCCTCCAGCTCTCGGGGCTGTCACTCGGCTGCAATTTCCCACTCTGGATCGGCAAGAAGGAGAAGCTGCGGATCCTCTGGCACTGTCAGGATATCATTAACCTTTGCTTTGGATTTAAACGCTCTGCTCCTGTCGCTTCGGAGCTGTGCAGTCATTTACTCCCAGCCTCCTTCCATCCCCCAGGCCCAGGCAGTGCTCAGCTGGCTCTCCGCAGCCACACACCAAACCAAGCTACCCCACATGCCCCCTTTCCTCTTGATTTTATCTGAATTTCTTCTCGCTTAGCCCAGAGCACAGGCCAAGCTGTGGAAGCAACAAATTTCCCCATCCCCAGTTTGCTGTGCTCCCCCCAGCAGCCCCAATCCCCTGCCCTCCAGCCGGTGTTTTAATTACACAGGAGGCTCCAACGGGGAGCACTGCTGGGCACAGATATCGGCTGCTCGTCCCCATACATCAAAGAACAACTGTCTGATCTGGCCGTAGCATGGCAGAGCTGCCTGGCCTGAAAGCCAACCCTTATTTTCTGGAGATTTAGGGGCAAAAAAGTGGCAATATTCGGGTACATGTAGCTCCAAGAGTGGTGAGGGAAGGGCTGACGTGATGCTGCAAGGGGTTGGCCTCGAGCCCTGCTCCTGCTGCAGAACATCAGCAGCAGGATCCTGGCTTCACCATGAGACATCTCATCTCGTGGGCAAAGCCGTCATCATGGGCAAAGCCATCAAGCCCCAGGCACATTTACAGCAGCAGCTCCCTCCTCGAGCAGCCCCCAGGAGATCTGCTTCATTCACGGTCTCCGCTTCCCTCCCC